TTAGACAAATAAGCTGGTTCAAGGCTACTGTGTATAGTGCTTTATAAACTGGTCATATTATTTCAAAGAAGCAATATAAAACTGAAAGGCAACCACTCTGAAAAGACTTTAAAATGCTTGCTCTCCATTTGGTCTCAAACAACACTCAGCAGGCCGCACACTTCTGAATCAATTGTTACTGATTCATGACTGAAGCTCGAGTGCTACATGCCAGACAGCTAAGATATCACAGCTGGACTATGAATGAATGTCGTGACAATGTTCCTTCAGTAAACACATCCCGAAAACTGCTGTGCAAACTCAAAGGGAAGCGTAAAGTAATGAGAAAGTAATGACTCATATCTCCATTCAGCCTTTCCTCTGAATAAAGCTGACTCACTGTGTCACTTCTAAAAGGCTATACTCATAGACAGCTTGGATGGCGAGTTAGAAAAGGGCAGGGTATCAAAGCCAACATGCAATCAGCTTTCTCTAAAGTAGTTCTACAATTAAACGCATGGAGACACGACTCAAACTGAGGTGCTGTCTGCAGCGGCTGGAAGAGTCAAGGGGAAATAGCTAAGGTATCATTAGTACATGAACAGTTTTGATCTTTATGAAAAAAAAATCCTGCAGGCTGCAGAGAATTATTAAGGGTTGGGAAGGTTTATCTAAGGGTACAATTATACTTGGAATACAATGATTTCAAAGCCTCCTATCCTTGTGTCTGTGAGTGATTCAGAATATTCTTTTCTTTTGTCATTGATCCTCTCATCTCTCTGCAGATTCTCCGAAGCTTTGGAGGTTTCTGGTACCTGATGATGCAACCGCTGGCAGACAGAAATGGCATCTGTGAAAATCCCCAATGGGATACTGCATGTGTAAGTGTGTGTGTGTGTGTGTGTGTGTGTGTGTGTGTGTGTGTGTGTGTGTGTGTGTGTGTGTGTGTGTATGTATGTATGTATGTATGTATGTATGTATGTGTGTGTGTGTGTGTGTGTGTGTGTGTGTGTGTGTGTGTGTGTGTGTGTGTGTGTGTGTGTCATTCGGAGTTGATTTCATCCTGTTCTTTGACGGTTAGCAATCACAGGGCGGAAGGGAGCTCTGATTGTGATGAACCTGCTTCCTGCTGTTCTCTCTGTCAATCCAATCGCTGCGTTTCCTTTCCAGCGGGATGACTACGGTCCAGTTTGCTGTCCACAAATGTTCTTGGACACAAATACTGCCACTTCTTTAGTGCCTCACACTGCCAATGTTTGCCAAGCCGGTGGCGTTATACATTTCCCTGGGCCAATATCCTGTCACAAAGCCCTACAGTATTGGGATGAGTGCTGCACAGATCAACATACATTAACTTACAGTTTTTGGTGCTGCCATGTTGTGCTTTCGAGCTCTGTCAATCCAATTAGCTTAGTCAAGCAGACAAATTAACTTGGGGTAGAAAAGTAATTATGTTAGAAAAGGGCAACTGGGCTTGCTTCGGGCATCAGAGTGACTTCTGGTATTCATAAAGGAACATTAGGATCCTGTGGACGTCATTAAATCCATCCTCCACAAAACCATCTTGTGTTAAAATAATCAGTGTGACCATTTCTACATCCAATCTGTGGCCGACAGAACCCAAAGGACTCTCCTCAGCAGCTGAAATCTGTCAGCAGTGACTAATTATAGAGGGTAAGGTGTGGGGATGTCCAAATCCTGGAATAGGAAAGAAAATGTGTGAGCAATGCTTAATAATCTAGTTTAAAGAATCAAATTAACAGCAGCACTATGCAGAAATCTAACTTTCAAATGTTGAATAATGCTTGTTTCTTTCTGGATATAACTGGTTAGTTATTGAAAGAAAAATATTCTCATTCTCCTTAACACAGCACAGGAAAAACAGCTATGTTCACATGCCCCCTTGTGGATCACTGTCACATCTGATGATTTCTTTAAACATATTATTAATTTTATGGCATAGTTTGACACCTTATTAATAAGTAAAATGTCTACCATGGATCTGTTTGGAGCCCCCTTTCTGAGACTGTTAAAAAATGCATTGTTGCTCCGTTGGTTTATTTAAAAAACCCAGTGTTTATCATCATTTAGTTCTTGTGCAACATGAAGCCTCTTATACATGTTGAATTAATGTAGTTGTTTTAAACTTATATAGATTGTTGGACATCAGTCTCAATTCTAAAGTGCCATCTGAGTTTTCCTTAAAGTGGACCTATCATGTTATATTTAAATGAATTATTGTAGGGCCATAAGGTATATTTATACGTTTCTGTTTTCAAAATACCAAACAGATCATTTGAGCCATGCCTCATTTCGCTCTATTTGCTGTTCTCCAGCCCTGTTTTTGCAGGGGGCTGATTCTGTGAGCTGCAGCTGACCACGCCCCCCTGCAGGAGAGGGGAGCGTGCTCTGATCAAGTCAGAAGAGGGGGAGAAAAATAGATCTCCGTCCTCTGTGTTTTATTATATTATTATATAGAGTCGTTATTCATTTGTTTTAAAGCTCAATAAATAACAAAGAAGACCTTTGACCGGAACTTTTCTAATTTTGTCCGGAAGATTTAAACTTTAACGGACATCTTGACTGGCGAAAGAAACTGAAACTGAAACTCTGCCGCACGGTCCCCTCGTTCCTTGGAAGAGGTGGAGAGGTGGGTGTTTGTCATCTGCTGGTGGACTAACCGGAGAGAATTACAGTGCTTGCCTCGACGGGGAGGGATTGCATTGAATTACAGCAGCGGGAGCAAACGCTTGCCTCGGGGAGGGAGAAAAAAAGCCACAGCGGAGAATAAACAGAAGGGCAACCATGGCAACCATGCGCGGGAAGTCTTCTTCGCTGCTTTTGTGGCAGACTACAGCGTCACTTACAGGCCTGGCATATGTACTACAGCGTCTCCAGCGCTTTCGAGCGGCAATGGCCGGCCGTGGCCCAACCCCACATTCCCCTGATAGGTGGAGAGTTGGCCCAATAGCCGTAGCGCCACCGTCCTGACGTCAGTAACGTGTTCAAATCTGGATCAGTTTTTATCAGATCCGTTGCAGCCCCGTTTTTAGAGATTTGGGTATGGAGGAAAATAGAGAGGGTTGTGTTTTCTGACACTTGGTGAGTTCCCTGGAACACCGGGGACACATATTCATGTATAAAAGTGCATTTTGCATGATAGGTCCCCTTTAAGTAAAAATATCTTTATCTGCATTTGCTATTTTGGATCTTCAGTCATTCTGTGTAGCTTTTTGGCCAAATGAACCAGCCTGGGTGGAATTAACAATCAAACATAAAAACGAATTGCTGTATATTGAGTCATCTCTGTGTGTGACTAGCAGAGTCACCAGGCTGCTCTGTATCTGAATCACTGCTTTTGCAAACTGTGTGTTACCATCATCTGGTTTCATATTATTTATATTTCACGTCACTGCAGGAGGTTCAGGCTGTCATACATCTCTGTAGTTCTGTGTTTTTAATAACTGTGTTTGGTTGGTGGTGGGTCAGTGCCTTCTGTCTTTGAGGAACCAATTTCCTCTGCCGATCTGTGAGATAAAGATGAATTTAAATTCTGATATTTGAATAGATGTTTAAACTGGGAACGTGTGTTTCAACCAATGTACCCATCGTTAAATAATTGTATTTTCAGCAGTGTGTGAACAATAGGCTATATAAGTAGTAGTATTCGCCAAATTAAATGTTCCCAACTTGTGTGTAAGTGGGCTTTTTAACCCCTCTGAATAACACTTTATAAGAATTTTTGTGAACTCAAATAAATAAGGTCCAGGGAAAAAACATCAAGCTGTTAAATCCTCATTTATATACCAGAATATACACACATAAAACAGCACTCATACACAGGTGCTAAGAGTCCACAGCTAAATATTCTGTGAAATGTGTTTTAGCATGGTGAACAGGGCTGGGCAGCATAGTAAAATTAACTTTGTCATACTTGTTTTGTTTGTAGCAGAACTCTTCATCCAGAGGAGGGCAGCATTTTGTCCGTGCTAAAAATAGCTCAGCCCATGTGGATAACTGGAAATTGTTTGTGTTTAACCAGGAAGTCAGCAACAGATTACCTCTGTCAAGTTACATACCCTGACCCTGACATTACTTCTGATTTTCCTTTCAAAGTAAAAGTCTTACAGAAAAGGATTGCAGCAAATGTCTCAGTGCCTAAAAGAAAGAAATTAAGACTATTGCACAAATCGTCAGAATATTCTTTTAAATCACAAATAAGCAGATTTTTGGGACATGCTACTTAAATGTAATGTATGCTATTTATTTCTGTAGCAAGCACTGGGACACTAGCCTAATAAAATACTATTGTCTTATCAGTAGGGGACATACGGGTATTAGATGATAAAGATATTTAACTCTTTACATTCACCTTCAACATGTAGTTGAATTCACAAACAACAGAAACGTTGTTTGTATTATTTGCATTTAATGCTAAACATTATAATAGTGAGAATTAGTTTAGGGTAAAAACTATGATGGTGAAGGTATATTTTACTAAGTACTGTACTTAAGTATAATGTTGACATATTTGTACTTGACTTCAGTATATTTATTCTATTATTTTATAGACATTTTATATTGCATGGTATCGATTTACTTTTTAAATGTACATGATATGACACATTGCTGTACTACTCTACCCATATCATACTCTACCCATATCATTATACTCCACATTGACCAGACTACATAAAAATGCTATCTTTTGATAAAAACTGAAAAATATATTTTGTTATTATAAAATAACACTGTGTAACACTCACAACCCAAATCATTCTGATAATTACATTTCACTGGTAATACTTCTGTTCTTTTACTTATGCAACAATAATGAATATTGGATATGTACAATGTATTTTTTGATTAGGATATCTTCTTTTACAACGCCTAAGTAAATACACCTGAGTATCACTTCTTCCACAACTGGGTTTAACGTCAACGTCACCAACCCTTATTTTGAAAACACAAGCACACCGGAAGTTAAAACGGTGTGCTGCTAGCTTTATGCTAGCCTGTGCGCAGCAGTGACAGCTCTGTATTTCTCAACACTTCCTCTTATCCCAGAACTAAAGTCAACCTGGATTTTCTGACCACACCTGCAGAAGTATCGCCTGGATGTTAACAGTTAAGTAAACCTCAGTTTCTTTTATATGCAAATGTCATGGAGAGCTAATTTAGCAATGTTATAGTAATAAACATTAAAACCATATATACTTTGTTGTTTTATCTTTGTATTATTCGTTTTATAGTAGGCCTACAAGTTATTATATGCAAATAACACGTCTTAAGTAACGCCAATGTTGTTAAAGTGCATCCAGATGTATTCAGTTTCTGATATAATCATGTTTTGCATCTTTTTAATGCCCTCATTGTTATATTTGTATTACCTTAGGGCAATACTTCCGGGTTTGCTTCTCAGCAATTTCTTTTTTTCCGTGTGCGCCAGTGTGGGTGTGTCCCACTGTACATACTGTCCCGTTATGGTCTCACGTTGAAGTTTACAACATATGTACAGTATTGACATTTCAACTGCACCAAAAGTATTAAGCTGATGGAAAACATTGTATTTATATGATTCATTTTCCAATAAACTATTTTGGTGTGTTCTCTCCTCACAGGCATGGCTGTGTTTGAGAACTGCTCTGTGCTGTTTGAGCTGAAAGCGTTGCCTTACAAGGAGAAGAAGGAGCTGAAATCAGCAATAACAGAGAATGGAGGCAACATTTCCTTTGTTGTCAATAAAAAGGTCAGAGGGTGTGATCACTTCCTATACGGCCAGGCTATGGTCTTTTGATTAAAAACGAAATATCTTCCTCCAACATGATTAATGTACATAAAGCTTGCATGTTTAAACTGTGTCCTTGTGTTGCAATGTTAAATAACAATCATATATTGCTCTCTGCCTACATTTCCCACAGTGCTCTCTGATAGTGACCAATGATGTATCCAACCTGAGCTCCAACAGGCTGCGTAGCATCCAGAAATACCAAACGCCTGTGGTCGGGGTGGAATATGTGAACAGCTGTCTGGAGAAGGGAGTTATTCTGCCTGTGGATGAATACAAGCTGGACATTTCCTCTCCCTCTGTGTTCTCTCCTCCTCTTCCCCCCTCCTCACCAAGGCGTAGTCCAATCTCACATCAAGGTATTATCAGCATAGGTAGTAATTGTTAACAAAAAGCATGTATACTAAGCACATGTTATATGCAACAAAACATCATACTTAAAACAGGATTCGAAAATTGGCTGCACACAGAACTGATTAGGTTTTGGTGGTCAGATGTCACGTTCACTGTGACCTCACACAACCCTTTTTTATCTTCCTAATTAATATGCTTATTATGACAATTTCCCACAAATGTGTAATTGGATAAAACTAGGAAGTGATGGCATTTTATACAGACATGGATGCAACTTTACTGGTTGCATAATGCATAAAACCTTTAGGGAGTAATTCTATTTTTTTTTATTATGTAGACACAATGTTTTAAACAACATAAATACCCTTTATTAGGTCACCTTTTAAGGTCCACTAGAAGTAAAGTAGTATATCATGATTCCATGGGATCCTTGACACTTTAAAATTAGCAAGAACAAATAAAGGCCTTGAATCTTTGTTTTTTTTGCTGTCCAGAAACACTGCAACCATAAATGCTTATAGCAACAGTCGAAGATAAAATAAAATCAGTTATTGTGGATTCTCAAGTTACCATTTGATGTACTGCAGCTTAATTGATCCCCATTGGACAATAATGTATTGTTACTGCAGCAGTGAATGGAAGATGGTGAAGGCCATAGACCCCTAACTCTGATATTTGGGAATGCACCTTATTTACGTGTTGGTCTATAAAGCTTTTATATTACATTTGCGTTGTTTTAAAATGTGCAGTGTGTGCAGTGTGGGTTTGTATGCACTGCATATTTATACAGAGGTGAAGGACTGTAATATAACAATGATTACTTTTCCGGTTTTACTGTCTCTTCCGGAGACTAACTCAATCAGAATCATGACTCCACCCGGTTCCAACGCAACGATGACTCATGATTCCTCTGAGTCGTTTATCTGCTCTCAGGAACAGACACAAGTCGGAGCTTATTGTCGATCAATTGTTATGTCCTCCCACTTCAGTTTCCACATTGATAGATGGACATTGTGATTAAAAAGTACAGTTGAGACTCAGTCAGCAGGTTTATCTTCATAGCAGCCTTTTCTTTAATAACCTCCAGCAGTGTTGTAAATCAAGAGCTTTGTGAAGTGTTTTCATAGGAACCCACAATGCTTACATAGCCTGTGTGTACTCAGGTTTAAATGCATACCAGTGCTAATGCTTTTATTGCAGAACAAGTAAAGTGAGGTGTCGTTCATGTGTATTTTCTTGTGTCTTTTGTATTTTAGTGTCCAAAGTACCATCGAGCAACACCGAGCTCTCGAAGAGGGAAGAGACTTCAGGGAAGAGCAGAAACATCTTGGAAAAGTTCAGGTGTGAACATCGACCCTTCTCAAGAAGTTTGTTATATTAACCCTGGGGTATCAGTGATGAAGCTGAACATGACATAGTTACATTTTATGAATCAAACAGATGGTTAAAGGTTCAGTCATGCGGACCTTTTGTTATGATTGTAAATATGTGTGACCTTTGCACTGCTGAGACCTTTATCAAGCTGATCGGTGACCTATTCCTGTCTCTCTTAGCAGTTTCTGCTCCTTCAGACAAAGAATTAAAAGATAGTAGTGTTACAGAGAATAGCTTTGTACACTCACAGGCTCAACACATGTTGTCACCTGAGTATGCAGCCAACGAAGAATAATTCCCATGAATAAATAGAAAACTGTCCTTCTTTTAAATCCCAATGTTCTCCATGTGAAGATGCATTTGTTGCTGCTCCCATACTTTGTAACATGGTGGTAGAAACAACTGGATGAAAAACACCACAAGAGTTCAAACATTAGGTCGACATTTCTGCAAACATTTGTATTCCCTAATAACATGTATGCATGAATTCAATTCCACAGAATTTATACTGAAACTGATACGACTCTTCCAAAGTACCCGGATAATTTTCAAGTGGCAAAGTATTCAATCTTTGAAAAGGTAAAACTGCAGTTTATTTTAAGCTTTTCTTATACTGCTTCTACAGTAAATGTGTATTGTTAATAGCCTACATTTCTCTGCAGATAAACAGCAGGACGTGGTGTGTGCTGGAGCTTCAGAGTTACAGAGGAGAGACAGGATGCCGCTACCGGGTGGTCAGGTACTGGAAGGACGATATCGGAGCCAAGGTATGAAATATTTTATATAACACTGCTTTGCTGAGCTAATAAATGACTTTATTTACTTTTTAGACATTGATTAATTTCATTCCACTGCATACACTGCACACAATTTGTAATAATGTTATGATTGACTGTTTCCCTAGACATACTAAATTATCGAAATATTAGTTTTGAGTTGGTATACATGTTATGGTAAATGGACTGTACTTATATAGCGCTTTATCCAGTCTTTAAGACCCCTCAAAGCACTTTACATACTACATGTCATTCACCCATTCACACCCATTCATACAGAGCTGTGTACCTTACTCTAGGACCTAACATTCACACACATTCACACACCGTTGGCCATCGGGAGCAACTCAGGGTTAAGTATCTTGCCCAAGGATACATCGACATGTTGACTGCATGGGCTGGGATCGAACCCACAACCTTCTGGTTGAAAGACGACCGCACTTTTTCTGGCTTTATGACCCAGTTATAATATCTTCTCCTTTATGTCTTAAAACATGCTGTCTATTGTAATATGCTGTTAAAGTTAACTGAAGTTAAAGGATCTGAAAAACTGAAGAGACCACCAGCAGAGTAAACATCAGTGAACCACAACAAATCAATTCCAGCAATCACCAGGAGACTAAGATGGACACTTTTTTTACAACATGTCACATTACATAATCAAAAGGAGCAAATAACTTGTACAGAGTACCATAAAATCAACATTTGGGACTCGATCAGACTTCAGTTATAGAGTAACTTGAACATTGTAAAAACATAAATACCCATGCCTGTGTTTGTGCTGACAGGAGGCGGCGGTGAGGGATATGCTGGTGCACCTGTCCACCTCAGAGGAAGCTCTGGAGGTCTACAAGACCCTGAGAGAGACCCTGCAGGCTGATGGTCTGCAGCTGAGGAACAACACCCCCCCACAGGCCCCAGACCTCGGCTCCGACCCCCTCCAGCTGGTGGGACATTACATTTCATTTCATTTGGCAGATGCTTTTATCCAAAGCGACTTACAATAAGTGCATTCAACCAGGAGGGTACAGAGTAACAAGAATCATGTAGGTATTAGTTTGAACTAAGCCAAACCATTCGAAGTGCTAGTACCTTAGCTTCAACTAAGCCAAACCATTCGGAGTGCTAGTACCTTAGCTTCAACTAAGCCAAACCATTCGGAGTGCTAGTACCTTAGCTTCAACTAAGCCAAACCATTCGGAGTGCTAGTACCTTAGCTTCAACTAAGCCAAACCATTCGGAGTGCTAGTACCTTAGCTTCAACTAAGCCAAACCATTTAAAGTGCTAGTACCTTAGCTTCAACTAAGCCAAACCATTCGAAGTGCTAGTACATTATTACAATATGTATAGAGATTTCATTGGCCGAGGTGCAGTCGAAAAAGGTGTGTTTTCACTTACCCTTTACTTTATTTAAACCTTAAAGAAATTGTTATGACAAAAACAATAAAGCTGCCGACAGTAAGTAGTAGGATACTATTCTGTTCCTCGTGTTTGCTGTAAAAAACTGTAGTTTTATGTTCAGCTTCATGTTAACATTAAATATTCTTTAGTAACGGTATTTCTTTCACAATTAAATGTATTGCACCAGCATGTGGTGGATAAAATGTAATATGTTTATTTATACAATAATACATGCAAAGTCAATTAATTAACATCATTTCCTGTCAATATGCAACATTATTACATATTACAAAACTATTTAAAGGGTAAATAATTATTAATTTCATAGAAAAAAATCCCAATAATAAAAATGACAGTACAAAGTACATTAGATTACACAGTTGTCTTGATTTTTAAATACCCAGCCTTCATAAAATACAAAACTGTCTTTGTTTAAAATGAAATGAGAGGTGGTCAGCAGGGTTCTGAGTTTGTTAGGGTGAGTCACTGCTTCTGGACATTTGTGTAGCTGAATCTAATGAGCTGTTGATTTGATTTGCATGTTCCTTGTTTTACTGACAGCTGCTGCTGGAGGAGCAGCTGAACACAGGAAGCTTATCACAGGAAGTGGGAGTGTTTGTGGAGCTGCTGTGGACCGAGGCCCTGGGCTGCCTCGGCAACATCCTCACAGTCCCCATCAACAAGCTCAGCCTCAACGATGTAAGCTCCTCTCTGTGGATCGTGCTGCTGTCAGACTACTGAGAGAAACATCAGCTGCCCCATCAGCCTTATTTGTTTGACCTTCCCGGAAAGACAGTCTAATGATGCATCTCATTACAATTATTCTTGTGCTCCATGTCTCGTGTGTGTGTGTGTGTGTGTGTGTGTGTGTGTGTGTGTGTGTGTGTAGGTGAGCAGGGTGGAGGGCTTGTTGCTCCAGGCTCAGAGGAAGCTGAAGGAGTCAGATTATAATGAGGTTGTGTCTCTTATTGATGAGGTTTACACCCTGCTGCCGCACAAAGAGCCACGCCCCTTTCCTCCCACGGCCAAGTTCATCTCTCAGAAACTGGATCTCTGTCAGGTAACACTGAACTCACACACAATCACTAACACAAACACTAAGACATGTATAGGCAAGGCAAGGCAAGTTTATGTATATAGCACCTTTCAGCACACGGCAATTCAAAGTGCTTTACAAAATAAAATGAAAGACATTTAAGAAGAAATACAGCAGAAATATAGACAGCTAGAAGTAAATAATTATGAATTGTAAGGCCACATGCTGTCTTTTTCCGTATAGTATACTTTGGTGTGTTCACAAACATAGCCAAAAACCCTGTTGATGAGTGTGCTGTTGATGGACTTTTACAATGACGTAATTGAAAAACATATTGATGTACAGTATATCTGGGTTGGATTTTTTTTGTATACTAATTGCATAAATGGTACTAAAGCAAGAAGTATATAATAAACACTTTTTAAAGTTAGTTTATATCATGGTGATCCTTATAAACACTGATAAGTACACGAAGAGTTGGCAGTTAAGATAAGATAAATTCTGATAAAGATCAATACAACATTATTTGTGGTGACTGTCATGTTTTGTTTTCATTTGAGCGATAACAAGTTTGAACCTTCCTGGCTTCTGAAGCTATTTAGTTCGTCATTATTTTAATTTTCCATATAACAGAGAAGTTATACACAATAAATGGTTCATATTTACATTTGAATTCATTGCATTTATTAAAAAGTAATTCTGTGTTTACTAAATGATGTGACCCAATTTGGTTTATTTCCTTTTAATCGACTCTAGTGTGTAGAACATGTTCACTGTTTGGCCACATATAGTAATTGATTTACTTTACATCAAATGTAGGAGCCAAATGTGGGGTCTCTGTGTGTTTTATTCATTTTCTGGAATGTTTGACTCATTATCAGTGGTGGGTTTGTTCACTGGAGCGTGGGCTGGAGTAAGTGGTGGTGTAACCTGCTCACTTGGGTTTCTGTATAGAGGTGGGGAAGCAACATTTTCTGTTCACCGCATACTTTTCACCACAATGTCTACTCTCATTGCCATTTCCATCACACTTCCACTTGCACTCGCCGTCGTATTCAAAGGAATTGGTTATGGATTGTATTTTATTTTTGTTTGTTTGTGGAAGAATACATTGTCAAACAAACCCATGGAGTAGAGCGGATATGTTCGTGCACGTCATACTAGTGTTTCTTCTCATGTTTAGCCCCTTGCGGCTTTTTTTTGACTAACTAGAGCCACAATAGCAAATGTAAAAACATGAATTGTTTAAACCTAAACAAATATTCTGAAATACACAGCATTCATTTTCATTCATAAACACAAGTCACCACTGTCCCCTGTGCATATTCAGGTTAACCTCATCATGATATCTTCCTTTGTCTAGTTAATCCGAGATGTTCTCAACGTGAGTGAAATGACCCTGAGGAGCCCCATGCCCTCCTGCCTGGGGAAGTACCGCGCTCTGAGGTGCAGCATTGAGGCGGCCCCCCCCGACACCCCCGAGCTTCAGGCTGTCACCTCCCTGCTGCAGGAAAGGTAGCGTAACACCTCAGAAATACTGGAGGAAGCCATTCAGTGATGCATAGCTTCCAAACCACAAACACATACTTCTATTCACAAGAAGGAGTTGCAGATATAAATTCCCACCAACTGTTATTTATGTTCCTATTTCAGGCCGTTTACAGTCACAAATCTGATCAAATATATGAGCATCATCACGTAATTTAATAGTGAGTCTCATTCGGCTGGTTCTTCCCAATTGTAGCCATTTATTTGTATTAAAGGTCCATCTGCAGCACAGAGGAGAAATATTATAGAATGAGCGCTGGGGGTGATGCCCCTCAGACCTCAATTTTTATCAATTTCCTGTCTTACTCAAAATATATACAGAGTTTGCTATTATTGGACCATAAATCTGTGAATAACACTGTATCTGCTTCGGAGGGTTTGCATTTTTAGCTCAGTAAAGACACAGTATTACACATATCTGGTTTAGTCCAAATATTGCACAGTTTTATCCATCAAACTCACAGCTTTTTTGCCACGACATACCTCCTCTTACATACTTTATTCTTCACTTTCAATCAAACACTACCCAATTCATTAAGTTAGATTTATAACTGTTAAATTATAGACAACACTTTGGGCAAAATCTAAAAAAGAGCCCAGTACATTTCCAGAAGAAGAGAGAGAGTTTGAGGGCACAGAATGCAGTTTTAATATTAATTAGCCTTTCCTCTTCTCGAGACATAATTAATACAGATAATACGTGTTCACCAGAGGCTTTGTATGAAGTAACCGGGACCATTCCATTCAGATTAATTGTAAAGGAATATAAATAATAATAGTGTGTGTACGTTTAGAGGTAAAAGCCTCCAAGTGTCTTTTGTGTGTTTTAAACCCTAATGGGGCCAGTAGTGTCCATCCATAAACACCTAAATATATGTTTTTGATACATAAATGTTTGTTTCCGTTGAGTTTGGGCTCTCACTTCCCAAGTTCCCATCTGTTCTTTGCAGGAAGATGCAGGTCAAACAGGTTCTGCGTGTCAGCCGAGGAGTGGAGCTCCAGACGTTTAAGAGTGAGTTTGGGAACGTTGGGCCCCTGCTGCACTCCTCCAGCCCCAGCAACTTTGTGGGAGTCCTGTCTCGGTGAGAACACACACACACACACACACACACACACACACACACACACACACACACACACACACACACACACACACACACACACACACACACACACACACACACACACACACACACACACACACACACACACACACACACACACACACACACACACACACACACACACACACACACACACACACACACACACACACACACACACACACACACACACACACACACACACTTTGTTAATCCTTCTGCTTGCGCTCCTACTTTGAAAAATGACACACACACTGTCTCGGTGAGAACACACACACACACACACACACACACACACACACACACACACATACATTTGTTAATCCTTCTGCTTGTTATTAAGGTTATTACAAAATAATACTATCTTCAAGTTCATCACAATCAGAGCTTCCTTCCGCTCTGTGATTGCTAACCATCAAAGAACAGGATGAAAATCAACTCTGAATGACACACACACACACACCCACACACACACATACACACACACACACACGCATAAATACTAGGATTTTCATTACAAAGATGTCTCTCTGTTTTACCTCATTGAGCATCCTGAGATTTATCTGTCAATTGTTGATGGATAATCCCAGGTTTTCTTGCAAGGACACTGATAAAGATCATTTCTGAGACGAAAAAGTACTTGTTGATCTTTAAATCCAGACTGACTTCTGTATGGAGGGTGTACCACCAAGAAAACATGATATACTGTTCTGACTTGAAATTAGAAAAAGGTTTACTTTTCCTGGGCTCTTTGGCTATACATTTAATTAAAGCCATTTTTGCTGGATTTAGGGATAAATGAAGCTCATTGATCATAGTCTATGCTGTGTGTAACGTGAGTGGTATAGTTCCTTTGTGAAACCAGTTCAAATTGGATTCTGATGTTGGTTCCTTTTAAGAATAATGTGAACAACTCCAAACAAGCAGTTCATCTGAATTGAGCGCTTAGACTCGCAGTGGAGCGTAGCTTTAGCAACGTGATATATTTGATGATATTGTACTGCAGACAGGTACAGTATAGTGAAGGTCTTCAAATGGACAACTAAGAAATCTTATTTGGTCTTGGATTTGTTTTACTTTAACAATGTTTACCCTCTCTTTAGTGGTCTGCTGCTGCCCCGTGTTGGAGTGGAGCATCATGGGATTGAGAGAACAGACGCGGGTAATCTGGGCAGTGGAATCTATTTTAGTGATGACCTGAGGTAAGTGGAACATCTGAAATCAAGTTTGTTATGAAATATAAAACCTACTTCTATATACTACTCTTGAATTGCCTAAAACATTACAGAATTTAATGAAACGATTGCGACTATGAGAATTCATTGTATCTAAAACAGAGGTGTCCAAACTTTTTTCACCGAGGGCCAAATACAGAAAAACATACGAAGGGCTGGGTATATTACCTCGTAAGTTCAGTTATAAATTAGCAAAATCAATCAAATGTGAGTGTTGGCAGCTCATCGCTTAAAACAGAAGATTGATTATAATAAGGAGAAATAGGAAGGTTGTATTTCATGCTTGTTATGTAAATAAGTCATTGGGCTTTTTTCTTAACAACTAAGATATGTTAGAAAATGTTTCCAATTTGAATTGACTGAATTTATTTGAAAAGTGTTTTTATTAACACATGAAAACTACTGTGTAATATATTTGCACATTTATCTTTAAGAAGTACAATACAAGACAAGCACAAGTTTCATTTGTGGACCATATTCCATTATACTTTTTGAATTTGCTGAGGGCCGATTCAAAATGGTCCACGGGCCGCATTTGGCCCCCGGGCCGTAGTTTGGACACCCCTGATCTAAAAGGTGCTTTTCTAATGAGTCTTTGATCCTCATTTCATCCTATGGGGAACCAGATGGCAACAACACACTCATCTGTAGTGAGACTGTTTTCCACTCTCCTTATCCACAGCACCAGTTTGAAATACTCCAAGCCCAGCGAGACAGACGGCTCTCGGCTGCTGTTGGTGTGTGATGTGGCGCTGGGTCAGTGCATGGACGTCCATAAGAAAGACCTCACCCTGACCGAGGCTCCGGAGGGATACGACAGCGTGCACGGGGTCCGCCGCACCCCCAACACTCACTCTGAGTTTGTGGTAGGTGTTTTCATGCTAATTGTTAGGAAAATAACCGGCTTGAGCTTCAATATCAGGATACATGTATTTATTATCCTTGCAAGAATGGAAGTAGTCATCACATACAGAGCATACAGTAGGGGACAAATAGTTCCCAGAACAGTGTCCTTCAGATGCTTTATATACAAGAGAGGGTGTATTCAGTCACAAGATGCAGAATACCGGTTCAAAGCAGTATACAATGTTTAGTTTAGAATAGCTAAGACCCACGTCAGAAATGACCATGCTTGTCATATGTCTATCTCCATAGAGAGTGAATCATCATGTTAATCACAAAGCTATCATATGCCTAAAACAGTCCTGATGCTCTTCTAGGTAATCATACATCCTGTTACGCACACAGCTACGTAGGGCCTTTGTTATCATGTGCTATTCTGATATTGGAAGAGTACATTCAGTATTTTCCCAACACTAATGTAAATGAAATTAAAGCCTGTTTCTGCAGCTAAAATGGATTTTATTTCTTTATTTTCAAGACTGTGATATAGTTTATCAAATTAGATTTTAAGATGCTGAGTGAAATAAACAAAGACTGACTGTTTTGCACTATCAAAGCTTGTATTAGGAATCTTAGGAGATAAATGTGTATACGATTGTATAGATGTGATTGCAAGTACATATTGTATATTATGTATAATATTTTCTAAAACATAGTAAGCATTTCTTTGTACCCAGGATGACCCTGTCTGCTTTCATATTGTTTGTCTGTTCATTATTGTAACAAAAAACGAAAAACAATTAAAAAGGATTTAAAATGTACGTTTCAAATGTTATTTTTGAAAAGATAACATATTTTTTTATTTTTAACCATATTCTTTGATATATTCTATAGAGATTGTATTAATTGTTATATACAAATAATTTCAAAGCTTTAAATAATCTTAACTTCTAAGTCTGTGTACACTGTAACATGTATACTTGTACTTGTGCTCCAGGACGATGAGTACGTGGTGTACAGGCCCGATCAGGTGAAACTGAAGTTTGTGGTCCAGTACAGTGTCGAGGGAGACGCACCGAAGGAGTTCAGTCCAAACATCAACATCTGCGCTGAGCCCTCTACGGACCGAGATGAGAAGATAACTGAGAAACCTGACAATGGTATACTTCTCCTGAGCTTCAGCACTTTGAATATCTGATCTGATATACACACCCATATTGTTTTGAGGTGTATGTCATGTTTTATTTCAGTTGAGGGATGACTGAAAAAAAGTCTTCCTTCTTCCAGCTCCTAAAAACATTTTTAAACCACTTTGCTAATATTATATTGGTATTTGGGAACAACACAACTTTAATAAAGTAAAATTCCCCAATCCACTTAGCTAAATTAGGCAGCGTTTTACTTCAGACAGTAGGAAAGCATTTTCTTCCAAGATTAATGGACAGGTCAGACTGTTTTGCCATTGAAAGGATCAATGTTGTCCTGTATTGTTGTCATTACACTGCAATCAAACAAACATTGTGTGTGTCTTGGTTTGTGTGTAGATAAGGAGCTCACGTTGGATGAAATTGATTTCTGTACTAACCCTCTGGACGACATGAGGTCTGGACTGATGGACAGCTCAGGTCAGCAGCTCCCTCTGCAGGCCGTCCACGTGAAGTGCAAACTGATGGATCTGCTCTCTCAGGTGAAAACAGACCAACTCATTCAGATGTTTTGTTCAGATAGATGATCTATTGGTTGATTTGAATCAAACCTCGTAAAATGCATCAGACTACCATAGGAGAATATATCTTATTCTCATTGCTAAATTTACTGGATCTAAAAAAACACTGTTATACAAGTATCTAATCTGTAATTAAACTCAATTGTTCCTTCTGTCCTCTTTTCAGGTCATCATCTTCCAGAAATACACAAATCTGAGCTCTGTGCCCATCGAGGCAAAGTACGTCTTCCCCCTGGAGGATTCTGCAGCAGTGTGTGGATTTGAAGCTTTTATTAATGGGAAACATGTGGTGGGACAGGTAACCTAACTTTACTTTTCATATCACAGATATTAGTCTTGCCCTCTAGTTACTGTATTTATTTCTCATATAGACTTATTTTATTCATTAGAGCCTTTCTTAATGATTTATCTAATTTATTAATAAGCATATATACTGTAGACAACAGCTAAAAAATGGCTTGGCCGATTTGGAAAATGTTGGTGTGGTTATGGAGGTTATTGAGGATGTCGAATCAATTGCTGGCAAAACTGGCATTTTTGAGTCACCTAAAACTTAATAAAAAAAAAAAAATAAGTCATCAAAAATCAGTCCACCGAGAATATAAATGTAGCCACTTCTGGTTAAAACGGCCATTTTGATCCTGAAATGTCAGAAATTGATTCAACAACCCCTAAAACCACTCCAAAATATTCCAAATCGGCCAAGCCATTGTTATCTATTGTCTGCATATGCTAATTAATGTTCATTAATGCAACTTGTGCTAATTGTGCAAATTGCCCATATATGCAAGTTAGCATCTGGCAGTTTCTATGTGCTGGGGACCTGTACTTTACATTTATATCATAAAACCTACTGTGAACTGGAAAATAAACTATTTTATCAAACAATACAAATTAACTTTATGGATTTTTTGTTTAAACTATTTTACCTTGTTTGTATCTCAGGTGAAAGAGAAAGAGACGGCACGCAGGGAGTACAAGCAGGCGATAAAGAAAGGACATGGAGCCTACCTCATGGACCAGGACGCCCCCGTATGTTCACCCTCTGCATTCAAGATCTAAACAAAGCAATCTCTGATTCTGAAATATTACACTGAATAATATAATAATATACAAGACAGTGTTATAACCCCTTTTCACAACACCTTATTTACTTGAATCGATGCATGAAATTGGGTTGCAAAGACGGAAACCACTGGCTACAGAAGTGTTTTCGCTATTCTCTATTTGTTCAACATTATTATCAGTATTGCTTCATGAAGAGACACGGGACTCTCTCAAATTCTCTGATAAGTAACAATCATATTTACAAGCTTTAACTATTCCAACCATATGTGTAATTTAGCATTGCAGAAGGCTGTAGAAACTACAATGCCCATGAGCCCCAGAACACCGTTGTTATGGAGAAAAAAAAATGTGTTTCAGTTATTTACAAACGCAGCCCCATTTATACTATGTTCAGCCAAAGTTCACCCCAAAATTCTAAATACATCTTGGATATGTCTATCTCCCAAGAAATGAACCTTTAATGTACACACCTTGTTTCATCTACTTTCTATCAACAGATTTTGATTGTTAGTTTTAAAGGTCACCTATTATGCAAAATCCACTTTTTCATGTCTTTTATACATAACCATGTGTCCCCTCTGCGTTAAGAGATCCTGAAGGTTTCAGGAAAAAAAGATTCTCTCTCTTTTTGTCCTGATCCATTTATATAAAAACCTGTCTGAAAATGAACTGATCAGATTTTTGCCACTTTATGATGTCATAACGATGTTTTGGCTTGTGTAACCATTAGCCAATCACCAACCAAGGTAACCCCCCCCCCCACCTTATCACCTGAATCTTCTCCTAGAGCACCATTGTGTTCTTTTTAACCAAATATCTCTCAGAGGGGCGTGGGGAGGGGCTCCTTATTTTCATCTAAAGTAACAGACAGAGAATCAGCACTTTTGAAACAGGGCTGAAACAGAGGGGGTTATGGGATGCTGCAATGATCTGTTTGGTGTTTGGAGCCAAACACTTCAGAGACAAGTTTTGTATATATCTGAGACCTATAATATATTGATGAAAAAGAGTACAATAGGGGACCTTTAAATACTGTATTCAAGTCAAATGTATACAAAATGATTTTCCTCCAGAGGTGATTAAAATAGTTATTTCCACTTTGTATCTCTAACTCCATCACTGTGTGTTCTCTGCAGGATGTGTTCACCATCAGTGTGGGCAATCTGCCGCCCAATGCGACCGTCCTCATTAAAGTCACGTTTGTGTCCGAGCTGGTCGTCACGGACGGGTTAATTTTCTTCCATCTCCCTGGGAGCGTGGCTCCGTGGCAGGAGAGTGCGGCGCTCAACCAGACCACACAGGTAAAGGGAGGTCCAAATGTATACCCCAACAACAATACTCCACAAAGTAAATTCTTAATTCACCCTTTCACTCTTGCCTTCAACTCCTAATCCACTAACCCCTCGCCCTTATTCCACCTAGCTTAGCACTTTTTACTTTTGTTGTTATTTATTTTTCTTCTTTACTTGATTGTAAAGTGCTTTGAGCACCAGAAAAAACGCTATATAAATGTAATGTAGTATTATTATTATTATTATTATTATTAATATTATTATTAATCTGTATGTTGTCTTAAGGTGCAACAACAATTCAATCAGGAGAGACGGTTTTGATGTAAGAATACATATTTATTGCCAGGAATACACAAATGAATGTAATGGAGTTTTGGCGATTAGGCCCCGTTGTGCAGGAGTATCATTCGGGAGGGGAGAACCGATCCGATGAAACCCCCCGCGGTCTAAACACTGGTGGTGGTGAATGGATCGTTAGGTCCGGTCTGAAGGGGAGTGGCTTAGCTTGACCCTGGATTCAGAGGGACAGGAGGTGAAAAGGGGGGTGGAGGAGGGTTGCGCCGATTCACCTGAAATGACAGCTGTCAGAGGGGAGAGCAGATTTAAAAGGTTTAGCGGAGCGCTATGATAGGCTTATGAGAATAGAGCAAAGTGATTGGTTAAGCTGGAGAGTGACGCCCCCGATCACTTATTGAGAGGAGAGAGAGTAGTGACGTAGAAATAGTAAATTAATGAGTAAAGACGGTCTTCCTGGTTGAACTTGCGCTGAGCTTCATAAGTGCCTTAAAAGAGCGAAACAGCAAAAAAGAGGATAATACACACCCGAATAAGATAAGATGGACCTTTATTAATCCCTGTGGGGAAATTCAGTAGTTTAACAGCAACAGGGTAAGATTGAAAAACAGGACAGCACAGAATCACACAGATGAATACAATTCAGGATAAAATCAAAGATACAAATTACAAATGGTAAATAACTATAAAATAAGAAATGAATTGAAATGAACATATATACATATTTAGTCATGTGTACATGTTATTTACATGTGTGTGTGAAAACAATGTGTATTTTGCAATTTACGCATGTGTTTTCATCAGTTTGAGTTATTTACTTTTTTAGTCTTTTTCTCCTTTTGTGTGGCTTGAAAGCAATTCAATATATAAGATATCAAATAAAGCGGGACTTTTCATAGTCTTCCTTCATAAAGCTATCCTACGTCTGCATGAACCATTCATCAATGGAGAGATACAGATTGGAGGTGTGCTGGGCTCTGCATTGAAAACTAAATACTGTTAATGTTCCTTGTTTGTCTTGCATTGATCAACAGGTCACTGTGGAGAAGGTGTGTGTGAAAGATGAGGCGAGGTGAGCTATGTTTTGTATTTTGACTATTTTAATGCACTTTAGCTTAATTGTAATCCTTCAATTTGACACCACCTTTTGTGCTGAATGTTTGTGAAAAAACACACTGTCCATTAACTTGTTTATCCACAAATATTACATCAATGACACTTTTTTCTGTTAATAATTTGTCATTATCTCAGTTAAACATTTGGATAGAAAAATAAGTTGTGTTTTTCATCGTTGCCTCTTTGTCCTTCTTACTGTGTTTTTGTAATGAGTGTTGTTTATTTCTCAGAGAGTTCAGCCTGGACATGTCGATTGAGATGCCGAATGAGATCACAAAGCTGTGTTGCATCAGCCATAAAGTCAAGATCAAGGTAATCTGTGTTTGACATTTGTTTGGGATTTTTTAGACATTGTTACATGGCTGTCAGTTATCGTCTCTGTCTTACTGTGTTCCTCCACACATCAAGAAATAACAAATATTGTACACTTCTATAGAAATAGCATGTATTCTCTTGACTTGATGCGTTTGGAAATGCAGACAAAAGTGTACCAAAAATATGTTAAATGCCTTAATGCTAAATTGTTGGCATTTTGATTATGTAGCCGTACATTGCACAACCTGGATAATGAAAAGTAAAATGTCTACTGTTTTATGTAATTCTACTATTGGGGTTGTCATTTCTACCTCACTCTAGTGCTGACATGATGCCAGAGTTTTTTATAATTAACAATATCTTGATTTAGCTAAATTGTTTTCATCTCAAAATACGAGAGATCTCCCTGGCACAGCTTCAATAAAATGCCTTATGTAGTATCTTGTCTTTATCTGCTAATCAGATGCATACATGTAGAGTTTTTGTATCTGATTACGCAGATTTGTCATTATGTTGGAGGTATTTTACACTAAATATTTGACTCGTCGTTACTATGTTTGATAGTATAGTCCATAATAAAATAAAATAATTTCTTTATGTTGGGATATTACTGAATGTACTCTTCCAATATCAGAGTACACATGATAACAAAGGCTACGTAGCTGTGTACATGACAGGATGTATGATTACCTAGAAGAGCATCAGGACTGTTTTAGGCATATGATAGCTATGAGATTAACATGATGATTCAGCCTCTATGGAGATAGACATATGACAAGCATGATCATTTCTGACGTGGAGCTAATCTGAACTAAACATAGAATACTGCTTTCTATTCCTCCATCTTGTGACTGTGTAACTCCCTCTCTTGTATATCAGCATGTGAAGGACACTGTTCAGAGGAACTATTTGTCCCAAATGCTCTGTATGTGATGACTACTTCCATTATTACAAGGATAATGAATACATGTATCCTGATATTGAAGCTCAAGCCGGTGACGAGTGATACTTTCCTAACACTTTATGATCTTCATGTGCACCCTTTGTTCTTTTCTGTGTGTTTGTGTGATATTCCCACAGAAAACCGACTGTAAGGCAGTGTTGAGCGTGCTGCCAGGAGAGGTCATGGGTCCAGTTGGTTTCATGCTGTCAGTCACTCTGTCGGAGGTCCACCTGCCCAGGATGTGGGTGGAGAAACACCCCGACAAGGACAGCCAGGTCTGTCTGCAATGTTCAAAACAACAGATGGAGCCAGAATTCTAGGTGTCGTCATGGACTCTGACCTGAGTTTCAACAGTCACATCAAAACAGTTACTAAATCAGCCTACTATCACCTTAAGAATATATCTAGGATTAAAAGACTAATGTCACAGCAGGATTTGGAAAAACTTGTCCATGCTTTTATCTTCAGTAGATTGGACTACTGTAATGGTGTCTTTACAGGTCTCACTAAAAAATCTATCAGAAAGCTGCAGCTGATTCTGAACGCCGCTGCTCGAGTCCTCACTGACACTAAGAAAGTGGCTCACATCACTCCTGTTCTGAAGTCCTTACACTGGCTTCCTGTGTGTCAAAGAATTTATTTCAAAAATACTGCTGCTGGTTTATAAAGCTTTGAATGGTTTAGGCCCAAAATACATTTCGGACCTCCTGCTAAATGATGAACCATCCAGAACCCTCAGGTCTTCAGGGACTGGTCAGCTTTCTGTCCCCAGATTCAGAACTAAACATGGAGAAGCAGCGTTCAGTTATTATGCTCCAAATATCTGGAACAAACTCCCAGAAACCTGCAGGTCCGCTGCAACTCTTACTACTTTTAAATCCAGGCTGAAGACTTTTCTTTTTGCCGCTGCTTTTAATTGAACTATTCACATCTTAAACTGCACTGTAACCTTTATTCATGTATTTTGTCTTTTAATGTTTATTTTATTATCTTTGCTTTTTAATGACTGTTTTTAAATGCCATTTTCTTAATGTCTTTCATTTTTGTAAAGAGCTTTGAATTGCCTTGTGTTGAAAGGTGCTATATAAATACACTTGCCTTGCCTTACCTCTGTTTCTTTGTTTAAACACCTCTCACTTTCTCCTCTAGGCCAGCATGTTAGTTTTCTATCCAGACTTTGAAGTGAACTCCGAGCGTGAATCTGATGAACTCGTCTTGCTGCTCGACACGTCGGAGTCCATGAAGGGAGAGTCTCTCATCTTGGCCCAGAAAATCGCCCTGAAGGTCCTCAGCCAAATCGATAACAACACCAAACTCAATGTCATTTTATTTGGCACAGGTCAGTTTGAATGTGTATTCATTTTGGGTAAAAATTGATAAAGCAATAAGGGGAAGTACAAGTTGGAAAGGTGAGACAATGTTAAACTATCTCACCATTAATGAGTAAGCTAAAAGTAATTTGACTGAATCAAATAAATGAAATAAAAAATGAATAAGTTATGTAATAAAACTGCAAGGCACAAGCCATGACACTGCTTTGGTTTTGATCATCTGTTATTTACTCTTACATTCATTAGTGTTTCAGCACTTCCTCTCACGTCAGCCATCACATCCAACATGTCATTTCAACTACAAGAAAACTGCTTTTAGGGACTTTCCGTCTGAAGTCAACTCTTATTTTACATAAAAGTCTCCTCTTATTCCAAACTCAGTTCAACCAATAGATTATAAGTTTAGCGAAAGTATAATGTTTTTTTTTTTCTGTATTTTTGTCTGTCAGATCACAAAGACGCTTTCCTCACAGCACGGCCGCTCTTTGAAGCTCAACCGGCAGCAGAAACATTTATCAAGGTGAGTCGTTGGTTCATTAAAAAAATGAGCTATATAACATTGTAATCTATAAAATGTATCTCACCTCTCTGTGTAATGTACTGTAGTATCGACTAAACCACCTTAAACGACTTACCAATCACTGGACTGTAATGAAATATTTTCAGTATACTACACTTGAGTTTTCGGCCATGACAGGAACTTGGTCCTGTGACACATGGACTCGATAAACTTGACTATTCCTTACAATATATTTCTCATAACTCTAAAATAAAACAGGAAATGATAGTGAGAAGTATTGCCTATGAATTTCTTATTTTAGTTTACGGCTTTCTATAACGACATACAGAATAATACTATATTAGATTTGAAAAGTAAACTAGTAATTGAAGAGACTTAAAAGTAATTCACAGAACATACTGGAAGTAACTGTACACAAAATGTGTGCTGTTGTTTTTATCAAACAGGTTCGTTTTACACAGAACTTATATTTTACAATATTCCAAAAGCCTATGGACAAATCCCATTGCTGAACCCATGCTCAGCTTATTTCCAAGTCGGCCTACACAAATACGTCATCACTGCACCACTCTATAAACCCGTTTCTGATTGAGATTGTGATTCTGATTCCTCCTCCTCTCCCTCCCACCAGCTCTCCTCTCCAGTAGGGGGCAGCACTGAACTGTGGCGGCCCCTGCGAGCTCTCAGCCTGCTGCCTCCGTCCCGCGGTGTCAGGAACCTGCTGCTGCTGTCGGACGGACACATCCAGAACGCAGAGCTCACCCTGCAGCTGCTCAGAGACAACGCCGAGCACAGCCGCCTCTTCACCTGCGGCCTCAGGTCTCAAAGGGTCATAGGTCACAGGGGAGGGGGGTTTTCTCAGAAAGGAGAATACATTCCTGCGTTTTAAAGGTCCCCTATTATACTGTTTTTCATCAATATATTATAGGTCTCAGATATAAAATCTTATTTTACCTGCCCCTTCTTAAAAAAAATAACAACAAACCAAAAATGAAATAACCATACAAACGTAAAATAAAAGCAATATTCTTTCAGTCACAGTTGCTTACAAATACTGAAACATAAAACCAGAACACAATCAAAAGTAAACTTCAGACTGTCTGATTACGCTTTTTTTATACATTTTCTTAAACATATTGATCTAGTTATATGATTGGAAATATGTCCTGACACCAGAGACACAAAGACATAATGGCTGAGCTGTCTAACAACATAAGAATGAAAACAAAGTAAACACAAGTCTGAATGAAAATATAACAGAAATGGGGGAATGTCCCTACTAAATGTGTAAGGAATCTCACTCTCCCTCATAACCACGACCGATACGGGTTGTAACTCTCTCAGCTTTAATGACAAAACATTTTGTATTCAGCCTTGCCTTGCTTTGCACACTGAGGTTCTTTTTCACAACAGACATTTTAAAGTTGCTGTTTTTTTATGTTTGCTCTGTCATTTCAGCCCGACAGCCAATCGGCACATGCTCAGAGCCCTGGCTCAGGCCGGGGGCGGAGCCTTTGAGTTCTTCGACACAAAAACCAAACACAACTGGACAGATAAGGTAGGACTGACTAGCTTTACATTTTATTATAACACATTATTGGGCTTTTTTACCCAATGCAAAACATGAATTTGTATCTGATGATCTCCATATGTGTTGAAAGTATCCACATGTTTCCCAAGAGGTTCTAACACGTGTAATGTTATAAAATGAGCCGACAGACTTTCACATTGCGAAAAAAATGGTTTTATTCATTTGTTAACCCTTTGTTAAATCTTCACCCTTCAGTAAAGGGAACGGAGAACTTCCACATCAACACATTGTGCAATATAAATATCATTACCATCATTACAAAACACTCGCTGCTATATAACATGTACAATATTATTAATATTAACAATGTGCTATAATAAACGTGCAATTAGGGTTGCACTACTAATTACTGGTTATATTTACATTAATTATGTGACCGTCTATGTTTCATGTAGATATTTAATTGTATTTTTGTAACTCTGGCACAACAATTTCCTTCGGGATAAATAAAGTCTTATCTTATCTTTGATTTTGGCGGCAGGTTGCATCTCAGCTGCATCGTATGGCGTCTCCCAGCTGCAGTTCAGTGTCAGTGAAGTGGCAGCAGTTCAACCCGACAGCGCCCCCTCCTGTTCAAGCTCCCAAGCAGCTCCACGCTCTGTTCAATGACTGCCACACCCTGGTGTACGGCTTTGTGCCGCACTGCACTCAGGTACACACTTAAAGGTCCCCTATTATACTGTTTTTCATCAATATATTATAGGTCTCAGATATATACAAAACATGTGTCTGAAGTGTTTGGCTCCAAACACCAAACAGATCATTGCAGCATCCCATAATCCCCTCTGTTTCAGCCCTGTTTCAAAAGTGCTGATTCTCTGTCTGTTACTTTAGATGCAAATAAGGAGCCCCTCCCCACGCCCCTCTGAGAGATATTTGGTTAAAAAGAACTCAATGGTGCTCTAGGAGGAGATTCAGGTGATAAGATGTATAATGACATCATAAAGTGGCCAAAATCTGATCAGCTCATTTTCAGACAGGTTTTTATATACATGGATCAGGACAGAAAGAGAGAGAATCTTTTTTCATGAAACTTTCAGAGTCTCTTTACACAGAGGGGACACATGTTTATGCATAAAAGACATGAACAAGTGCATTTTACATAATAGGTGACCTTTAATATACACGACTGGAAACAGCTTACTTTGCTTAGCCCAGGGGTCTGCTACCTTTTTGACCAAAAGAGCCATTTTGCCCCCTTTTCCAACACTTTTTTTTATCTGGAGCCGCAAAACATATGTGATAGCTTGATGGCTTATAAAGTTGTATTTATTGTTATATCATAGACAAAAACTACAGTTTTTTTGCATTTATTATTTATTACATTATATAAAACTGTTAAAGGTGGGGTAGGTAATTTTGGAGAAGCCAGCTCGAGTGCGCTAGAATTTGAAAATACACAGCCGGAACAAATCTGCCACTTCCTTACAGAGCCCCTCCTCCAACACACACGAACGCGCACATGACCAATGAGGGCACGAGATAAGTTTGTGCACAGATGGAAGGCTGACAGGCAGGTAGGCCATCCAGTTATTTTAGCCGGGCCGGCTAAAATGATTGGTCGTGCTTTTTACAGTACTACGGCTTCCACAGATGACATTTTTTTTATGGATTTTTTGTCAAAGCACTGAAGATATTCATTGCTATCGGGATGTTAAGAGCATTCCATGGAATATAACAAACAGTGTATCTCGAGCCGGTTTCTCAAACTTACCTACCTCTAATAAGAAACAAAGAACTCCTATAGAGTGGCGAAGTCACGCCCACTTACTTCCGGGTAATGGGACCTTATTTCGGAAAAATTATGCATTGAAGTCAATGGGGAGAGAAAAGTTATCTTTCGATCCCGTTTGAATTGTGCCATGAATTACACATATGATGTTTGTCAATCTTAAAAAAGAATTTCCATGTCAAAAAAGTCACAGTTTGTCGTAAAACTGTTGAAATATAAGACTATGAAAAATACGTAACTAGAAAGACTACAAATCCCAGAGTCGCGTAAGTGATGTCACAATTGTTTTCCTCCACTAAGATCTAAGATCAGCGCAATATAGATATAATCTATCTATATGGCGCTGGCTAAGATAAGATAACTTTAACAAGATGCCTGTGTGCTTAGTACCAGGTTGTTATTATACCAGCAATGGGTCTTGCTCGTTCTTTCGCTTCCCGTCTGATGAAAGGACTAGGAGTGTCTGGATCAAGCTAGCTAGTAGCTAGCACGTTAGTTAGCATTACAGCCTTGTCATTTTTATTAGCCTTAACATGAAGTAACATGAAGTAACCCACAATGTTAAACAGTAAGAGTAGTAGTCATATTTCGTGAACCCTTTGAATAGTACTGTCACCGGTGTGATCATTCTATAATACACAATTTAAGCCCGGGGGAGAAATGCTAACGCTAACGCTAGCGATCTTCTCTACTTCATGCTATCTGCACAAATGGTTGACATTAAACATTAAAACGACCAGGCAGTTCAGAGAGAATCAAAGGAAGGCAGGCAGGCAGCTTTGCATGACATTCTTCAGGACGTGTTTCATTGTGGTGATAGTGAGGGAAGTCAATCGTTGTGTTGACAAGACAGTAGTGACGGCCATCTTGGTGACGTGTGTTGTTCTGTGAGACCAGAGATGTAGTTCATTGAGCGTTTCACACAAACAAATGTGTTACTTCACAGTTTTACAACACATTTTTTTTTTTTTGACTTGCAAAATTATCTTTTAAATTGACAAACAACATATGTGTAATTCGTGGCACAATTCAAACGGGATCGAAAGATAATCTTTCTCTCTCCATTGACTTCAATACATAATCTTTCCGAAATAAGGTCCCATCGAGGTCCACCGGAAGGGGAGGGACTTCGCCACTCTATAAGGAGAATTATAAAAAAGACACAGGCCTACTTTAAAATAAATCCACACAGCACTTGGGGAGTCCTCTGCACATTTGAAGGAAAAAAAATACAATCAAAATTGACCCACTTTGAAATAAATAAAACATATAGCTGCACCCTAAAAATAGTTAACTGATTGAATTATGACTGAAGATCGTCAGCTGTCTTCCTCTTCCGTTTTTCTCCTCGATACGTAAAGGCTGCAGCACCTTTGATAACTTCTCTCCACATATCAAACATACCGGTAAACCAGCATCGTGCCGGGGGTCAGGTTATTCCCCTGTAAGAAAAGCCGCTGGCGGCGGGACCGTATAGGATATGACGCATATTTTAGTTGAAAAAAGTTTTGTTTTTTATTTATGTGTCACAGCGTCACAGCATCACCTCAAAATACAAAATACGAAACATTTTCAACCATGCAACAAAATGTAAATAGTCCTACAAATACTTTTATTTGATTTCCTTCTTATTTTTGTCTAAGCTCAAGGGAGACAGAGCAGAGGGCTTAAAGAGCCGCATGCAGCTCGAGAGCCGCGGGTTGCCGACCCCTTGCTTAGACTATAAAATATTCAAAACTTGTAAGAAATAATCACAATGTCCAAGAGCTCAATGTGATTTAAATTGTTTGCTTCCTTTGCACAATGCTCAACGATATGAACACAGTAGGGCAACATATTTTAAAAGCTTCAATATGATCCAGCATGTTTCCTTGATAAATGACTCAAATAATGACTTACTGTATCACAGGCCACCCTGCTCGGAAATCTCAGCGGTCAGGAGCTCCAAACCATGGTTTCAACCAGTGAGCTGCAGAAGACCAGAGGCACAGTAAGAACACACACACACACACACTAGTCCCTTTTGTATTTGTTAATCCTTCTGCTTGCACTTCTACTTTGAAAAACATTAATGTCATGTAACGTTGATCATCTGTTTCTACATGTTTTGTGTTGTTCAAAACGTCCTCTGAATCCATGAATCCTGAATAGCAGTTGATGAAACTGTTTGTTAACAAAAAATAGTACCATCTTATAATTGCAGTTATCTTAGCTAGTTGACCCTGCAGAAACTGATGCAGGTTGTTGTTGATTATAGATTATGATGTGTATTAATGTGTGTGTGTTCAGTTTCTTCACAAGCTCACTGCGAGGGCCCTCATCAGGGATTACGAAGACGGAAGCCTGGATACCAATGAAGCCGAACATGAGGTGTGTGTGTGTGTGTGTGTGTGTGTGTGTGGAAGGAAACCTGCATCGCTTTAGACGTCTAGTCCCAGCTCCAGGTGTTAAACTGGACCTGTTTTGTTTCAGGGAAAGAAAGCGGAGCTGAAGCGCTTCATCATCGAGTTAAGCAAAGAGTTCTCCATCCTGTCTCAGTTCACCAGCTTTGTGGCCATCGAGGAAAGGGTTTGTTAAATGAAAAACATTATTTATTTATATTTGTCCACCTTTCCACCCCAGATTTGAAGGTTTTGTAGCACCCAACCATCCCCTCTACCTTGTTTTAGGACTCAGAACAACCAGAGGAAGGCTTTACAGACATCCCAAAGCTACTCGCCGAGGAAGATGTGGACTTCCTCCCCTACATGGGCTGGATTTCTCCTCAGGTCACTGAAGAGGAGGACTCTGAGGATTATTCTGAATTGATGTCCGCATGCTTAATGGTAAAGTCACATTGTGTAATCAGGGGACAAGAAAAAAGCATCTTTACTTGTTATGATTTACTAATTGACAATATCCTTTCTGCCTTCGTCTCTCCGTTGTAGGACTGTGGGCTCCAAGGGCCCTCTGAGGATGAGTCTGAGGATGAGTCTGAGGATGAGTCTGAGGATGAGTCTGAGGAGGACTCTGAGGAGGACTCTGAGGATTATTCTGAAAGGAGGTCCAAATGCACTATGGTAAAGTCACATTGTGTAATCAGGGGACAAGAAAAAAGCATCTTTACTTGTTATGATTTACTAATTGACAATATCTTTTCTGCCTTCGTCTCTCCGTTGTAGGAGTGTGATGATGGTAAGGTGTTAGGGTTCCAAGGGATCTCTGAGGATGAGTCTGAGGATGAGTCTGAGACTCTGATTGGGTCTGTGTTTCAAAGTGGTCCAATAATCGAAATGAAGGTAATGTCACATTGCATTATAATAATGAGGAAACAAAAGAGTTTTATTTTTGTAATTTAAAGATGCCCTAAAATCCCAAACTTCCCTCCTGAGAAAAATAAAGCAATTGTTTGTACATTTAAGCATGTAAACATGTGACAGGAGAGGCACAAAATACAAATATGAACCTGAAAATGAGGATAATATGTCCTCTTTAATAAATAACACTTCAATGAGTTGCATTTGTCTCCCTTTGTGCTTTGTATGATAGGGGACTTATTCCCGTAAAATGTTCAGCAACAAATTGCTGCTTCACATTTGCTATTTTAAAGTGACAATAAATGCATCGCTTTCAGATAGAGCTGTTATTTGTAATGCATTGACTGTTAAAACTAAACAAAAACATACCAATTAGCAGGTTAACAAATCCTTAAAGAGTGTCCTCGTGTGGCGTCACTCACATGTTATTAGAGAGGCAGGACAATGCAATACTGCTCCATTCATTTTAGTTTGAAAAAAATGTGTCCAGTTATAATTTGTAAGAAAAAGGTTTTGACTTTTTTGTTGTTTCTGTGTTTTTTAGCATGGGGCCTCTCCCTTAAAACTGAAAAAAATAAGAAGAGGGGACGTGGACACATGGGCACCTCCAGCACCCCTGTGTGGCATTGAAGTAACACTAGATTCTTTTGAAACGCCTCTAGTGGATGAAGAAATGCATTCGTATTCATCATGCTCATTTCATCCTCCACCACCTCCTCCTTTCCACATGAAGGAACTCGGCCATAAATCTCCTTTCCGTGCGCCTCTCCCTCAGATCAGTGGTCTTCAAAGCCGCTCATTTCATCGTCATGGACTAATGGGAGCAGAAGTTCCCCGACACCACGGCATTATGTTCGGTGCACCGCAAGCTGCAACTCACTCAGATGTGTTGATGAAGATGAGCGATGATGGGCCTGAACCTCCTGTCACAGGGAAAGCATTTTCATTCTCAACACAGAGACATTCACTGTCCTATTCTGCTCATTCACTTCAACGCCAGTCCACCTCTCGAGACCCTCCAGCTCCCCCTCCTCCTACTCTTGGTCCAGCTCCTCCGCTAGCTGAAATGTTACTTGGCTCTAATGCCATGTCGGATCAGCGCAGTGGGTCACTGGTAGGACGCGCTTTCGGGAACAGAGCGCTATCACGTTCCAATCAAACAGGAACCTCCTCTGGTCTCTGGGATGCAGGGAGGTTTGCACCCCAGGAATGCAGCTTGAGTGTTTCCACCTCAACAACTGAAACAACTGAATGTGCGACTGGATCTCCTGTGAAAGGTCAGTCAGGATGGTTTTCCAGTAGTGCAGAATCTTTATTCTCCAGACAAAGAGCAAACTTATTTTCTGATGAACAAGAAATGTCAGGCTTTGGTCTCAGGGGTTGTGCGCTTGAAGAAGAACCCGTTAGACAAGATCAGCCAATGAAAGATGCCCCTCCTGCTCCACTTGATGAAGCATCAGATGTCCATGTAGAGCGACGTATGCACAAATCCAGAGGTAGACCATTAGCAAAGCCTGAAGAAGATGGTCCCTTATATGGAAGTTCTTGGGGAGGACAGGTCCACATGAAGGAACTCGCCCAAAAATCTCCTCTCCGTGCGCCTCTCTCTCAGATTAGTGGTCTTCAAAGGATCACTCTCCGTATGCCTCCCCCTCCTCTCTCATTTCATCCTCGAGAACAAATAGCAGCAGAAGTTCCCCAACGCCAAAGCGCCATGTACGGTACAACGCAAGCTGCAACTGATTCAGATGTGATGATGATGATGATGAACGACCGTGCGCCTGAGCCTCCTGTCACAGGGAAAGCATTTTCATTCGGAAATGCACTGTCCTATTCTGCACATTCACTTCAACGCCAGTCCACCTCTCGAGACCCTCCAGCTCCCCCTCCTCCTACTCTTGGTCCAGCTCCTCCGCTAGCTGAAAGGTTTTCCAGTAGTGCAGCATCTTTATTCTCCACAGCTCAGCTCTTATTTTCTGATGAACAAGAAATGGCAGGCTTTGGTCTCAGGGGTTGTGCGCTTGAAGAACAAGATCAGCCAATGAAAGATGCCCCTCCTGTTTCACTTGATGAAGCATCAGATGTCCATGTAGAGCGACGGAGGCACAAATCCAGAGATAGATCATCAGCAATGCCTGAAGAAGATGAGCCCTTATGTGGAAGTTCTTGGGGAGGACGGGTCCGGAGTAAAGGTCTTTTTAAGTCTTCCAGGATGCGTCAATCAGCTGATCAACCATTCGAGTGAGTCCCTAAACGTTTTTTGTTTGAATAGATAAGCTCCTACTAAGAAAACTGTGATAACTTTTGAATAACAGTTGTTGACAAAAAATGCTCTACTTATTTTTAAAGGCTTTGGTTGACAAAATGAACATAGATGAATTCATCTGCATGTTAACTGAAAAGTATTGTTGTAAATCCTCTGATTATGTACATGTATGCATGTGGAAAAAAAAGAAAGTCAGTATATGTGAGTATTTATGTTTACATTCTTTGATTCATGTGTGTGTTTTTTAGTACACAACTTCCAGTGTTCTCTAAGAGTGTCCTGTTGTGATCATGTCGTTTCAGGAGGAAGTCAGCAGACCCTGAAGCGCTGAAGCTCAGATGGACAGAGATCTTCCAAATGCAGCATTCGGTAAGAAATATTCAAAATGAACGTATGCGGCTGTTCTCGAGTGCATAAATGGACCTTTTCTTTTCCTGCTGACAGGATAAAATGACAGCCCTTTGAATGGTTTATCAATTCTGATCTTTTGATAATTTCTTTGTGAAACCCATTTGGGATGATTAGCTGTCAGAAGGCTGCTTTGCACTTCTTGTTAAAGGAGAGGTGTCATGCTTTTCCGGTTATTACCCGTCCCCTTGTGTGTTATGAAGGTTTTTATGCATGTAAACGGTGTGCAGAGTCAAAACCCTCAAAGTACACCCTGTAGCGAGTAAAACTCTAACACAGAAAATACCTCCCCAAAACGCCTCGTTGGAGATACGTCATTGTCCATTTGATTCTTCCGGGTACGGCTTGACATCATGCCGTACCCGGAACGAAATGGACCAATCCGTGGAGCCGTTACGTTACGTCCACGGAGCCGTTAAGTTAAGCCCCCGCTTATTGGTCCATATTGACCAATCCACGGACTTCCTCACACACACATCTGTGTGCAGGGAGCAGGCAACTCAGCTGATTTCTCCTCCCTGGCTGCAGGCTGATAACAGACAGTTGGGATGGCGGCGAAATTCTCTCTGCAGACCCATTCTCACTGCGTTTATCAAGCTTTTTCTTACTCAATATCAAGCCACACTTATTGTTTTTACTTCGGCTGTGACTTTGTGTGTGCTCAGGATGAGTTTGGCTGTGTTTCGCTATGTATCCTAAACAAGGAAACAACACCTCCACGGAGCTCAGCGCGATTCACAACGTCCCGACCAATCAGAGCACACTGTGCTCACAGGGAGGGTGGGGGCTGGAGCTATTGGAGCTACAACGAGCCGTTAAAGGCAGAGAGTGAAATTCAGTGAATACAAGTAGTTTACAGAGATGCTGTATGAGAAACCAATGTGAGTTTGGAAACATGCACAGTATAAATCTATTTTAGTATACCTCAACAATGGAATTATGATCAGTGGAAATGGCCATGACACCTCTCCTTTAAAACACTGTAACTATAGCGATACAGCAGTTAGAGATATGTTTACTGACAGCGGGGCAAATTTGGGTTTCAAAAGCAGTCTTATGCAACTTGGCGATGTTCAGTATTATCGTACAAGCATTTTGGAAAAATACTTTAGATGCTTTTAAAAGTACTAATACCTAACTGGAAATACTCCACTCCTAATCATGCATATACTGAAATAAAAGTATGTAAACATTATCAGTTAATTGCATTAATTAATCTGGTGGGAGGGAGAGGAGGAAGAATCAGAAACGGGTTTATCACCAGGTAGGTTGACACGTAAAGTAAAAGGTTGTAATAACATATATCATCAGTGAGTGTTTTACTATTAAATGGTGTTTTTTGGATGTATTTACTGCTGCAGTAATGCTTATGTTAATGTGTATTTTTTTTAGCTGGCACTTTAACCATGGGGGCGTAATTAATTACCACTTTATGAAGGCAATGAACATTTTATTTGTGTCTCTGTGTTGCAGGAGGGTTACTGGCAGTTCACCGCAGAGCTGGGTGAGCTGATTAATTTGGATGTGGACCTCTTCGCCAACGTGTTCCTGAAAAACAAAGGCATCCAGTCTCTGGGTGAGGACTCTCAGAAACTGATGCAGCCTTTAGAGTGGGAATATATTTGTCATTTCAGATCATTTCCACATCTTTCTGTGGCCAAAAGATTGGGTTTACACGTGGAGATAGAAGTATCATTCGCCGAATAGTGCCAACATGTTCTTTAAAGTTTAATATAACCTTCCAAGCAATATAATATTAACCAATCAGACGAGAATGTCCTATTTGTATTTATGAGTTTTTAGGTTTTAAATCATTAAGATGAGTTTAAAAATGACCTGTTAATGACTAAGTCTCTTTCTTTGATTCAACTCAAACTGCTCTCTTTGGGGGTTATATTAAAAGGTTTTTGGTGAAAAGTTGAATATTGAATGTAAAATCAGTATTCAAAGTAAGTAAGTTGCTAGAGCCATTACCAGTGTTACAACTCAAGAGAAGAAGAGAAGAATAACCTCAAAACTGCCACATTTTATACATTTTAGTGTGTGAAAATATACAGTCTAGGGTCAAATCGCAAACAGTTATCATGCCACGTCTCTGCTTTTTAGAGACTTATATCAAAACCCAACTTTTCGCCACAAGTATATTTCATGATAGTTTGGATTATATTTGTCCAGGGTATGAAATTAACATCTGCTTCACAATGGAGATGTAAGAGTGGGGGCTCCAAGTTGAAAAATACACTTTAAAAAAATGGAACTGTGACATCTCTGTCCACAATAAATGTGCCTGTCTTTCAGTTTTCATTGAGGACTCTCATAGTTGCACTGCTTTCCTTTTTTTAAGTCTTACAGATATCTCAGCCATGATGATGAGTTTGTTTCCCACGGATGTTAAAAGCATGTGCTGTACTTGTCTGTGTGTGTGTGTAGGTGTGAAGGCCCATGCAGACATCCTGAAGCTGGTGGCGACTCTGCTGGTCCTGCAGCTGATGAGAGAGGAGAAGATAGAGGAGGGCAAACTGCTCCGCACCCTGTTCTGCCTGGACGACTCCCCTCTGCCCAGGTCTGTCCAAAACTTAATCGAACAACATGAAGATCCTAAATAAAAACACCTAAACTGATTCCAAGCTTGAAGGCTTACACTGCAACCAAAGTACAAAGGTGTGAAAAGAGGAAATGAAACAGGAAGAGAAACACATCACAACACAACAAAGCATTTATCTCTCAATTCATACCCTTGAGATGCCCATTGACTTTTAAAACACTCAAATATGTTGTTCTCGTTTGCAAAAGATCCAATATGTATTACAATGTTCTTCTCTGGGTGATTTTTGGAGACTAGCTGTCACTATGTCCAGCGTGGCAACCTGTTTTCATATCGACTTTCTTCTTCTTCCTCCAGGCCTGAGCGTTGGGAGGAGGTGAAGAGGGCGGTGGACTGGGTCTGCTGGGCGGACCGGCAGTACCCGTGTGTCTACAGCCGGCTGGAGTTTGGATTCAGCTGGGAGTCCTCCACCCGCCAGCTGCTTGGCTTCGAAGGCCTCCCTCCCTTCTCCGCTCTCAGGGGGCTGAACCTGCAGAAGACCGTCCCCCTGGTTCTGGTCCACTGAGCAGGATAGTGAGAGGGAGGTTCACACCCCTTTGCCTTTTTATGGGGATTACATCATCTATTGGATGTATTTGTAGCCCTTTTATTGTCAGTGTGTTTACATGTTCTTAGGTAGATACAATTGGCTTACTGCAGACCTGATTTATTCAACTTAAACTGCTTTGGGTCTACATATCGCCTTTTCTGCACGTCAGCATCTTTTTTCAAATGTATTCCAATAAGGCGATAGCTTATACTGTTTTACACCGTGGTCTTCAGAGAAAGAGTTGCACCCCTCGTCTTTCTTCTGACCGTTCCACCTTTTTGGTCAAGTTGAAAATATTTAAACTTTCCAGAAAAACGCTGTTGACGTCACTGAAGGAAATGACTGTCTCACTGTCAGACAGTAACCATCATAACAAAGACCAAAGAGCCTGTTTGTTGGAGCAGATCTGCCAGTGAGTGTGTGGCTTTTATCGTACCGTACACATATCATCCTCCTCACTCTAAGGCTGTCAGACTAAAGCTGTGACGCTCAATCACACAAAATGTGAGAACAAGCATCCTCCTGTTTGTTCTCATAGACACAATGTCAAACAAATACATAGCACAAATCGATAATAAAAACCAAGGGGTGAGGCTAGTCTGTAATACAACAATGGTGATGCAGTGTCAAGATATTGCTGTCATAGAAACAACAAAACAACCCTTGGAGCGTTATGTGGACATGCCCTTATTCGGGGAAAGAGGATTTAAAGGCTAGATTACATTTCATGGCCTGATACTTATCATCTTGTTCACATGCATGCAAGTCCACAACAATGCCTTCAGACAGAGATAGCATCATTGTGACCAGTGATAAAAGGGAAGGTCACGATGAGTAGCAGTCTATCTGCATGTTTGTAATCCTCTCATCAAAAATTAGTCAAAACCAAAACTAATTCCGCAGCTACTACTTTCTCTAAATATTTTACTGGTAAATGTAGTCACAGCTGTCTTCCCACAGTTGAACACACAGTCACATGTTATTATAAAATAAGGAAGCAGTGCCTCTGTGCCCAAAAAGGGTCAGTTTCTTGGGAACATCTTGGACTGACCTGCTGAAGGTGTGTGTTGCTTCTCTGAGTAACCTTGTACATGTGAATCTTTTTTTGTCTTGTGTTTCATTTATAACTGCCTTTTAAGCACCTTTGATTATTTTAGTGTAGGATATAGGATTTTCTTTCACAGTATATGCAGTTTTATATCATGGTAGCGGTATAAATCAGGGTACAGTATAGTATTGTTCTGTAAATTCAATAAGAAGTGGATTAAAACAACCAGTTTTTTTATTATTTTCCTCTTTTATTTGGAACTATAATATTAACAAAATCAACCGACTCACGAGAGACAAAGCCAAAGACTTAAAACCTTTAAAATTCTGAATGTGAAACACGTTTTAAGGTTAAACGGTGCAAATAACTTTGACTTTGAAATAAATATCAGTCTGACTTCAGTCAATGCAATATGAAGCACCATAAACATCCCACAAGTTTTAATTTCAATATATACCAAAAGAAACAAGACTTTAACTGCAGGATTTGCTCATGTTTCATTCAAAAAAGTAAAATCAAACTCCCTTTTATTTGAAGTACATTACAGTACTCGAGTAAATGTGTAGCTAAATCAGGAAATGGCAACTTTTTTATACAAGATAACACTTATTATAAAAATATGGTGGGTGTATTACATGTTCTCGGACAAGATAAAGCTCTTGCACTCAACAACTTGCTGTTATCAGATAAAAAGCAGCTTTACCACTTCCCATTTTTTCTTAAAGGTCCCCGATCATGCAAAATGCACCTTTGATGTCTTTTATACACACATATGTGTCCCCTGGTGTGTAAGGAGACTCACAAAGTGTCCGAATACAACCCTCTCTCTTTTCCTCCGTACCCAAATCTCTAAAAACGGGGGTACAACGGAGCTGATCCAGATGTGCTGCGGTCATGACGACATTACTAAAATCAGGGCTGGCTTTACACCCACGGCACTATCAGAAACGTCGCTATCAGAAACTGCCCAACTATTTTGGAAGTAATATGGTCAGTGTTTACATTAGCAAGCATCGCTAACACTCAGAGCTAACGCTGTACTGGAGAAAGTATGTGTAAAGAAGCAGGATATAAAAAGGTACTCACCACTATATGTGTTTATGTAATCATGAACAAAAATAAAGTCTTTCAAAAGGTTCCCCAGTTGTCTTCATTTGTTTTCTTGTGTTTATCAGCATTCATTTAAGATCCCTGCTTTCACAACAATGTCAGCTAATACTCTTTTAAACTTGTCAAAGAGAGGTTTATGGGTGTGTTTTAATTTAATTATGTTTTAATTTAATTATGGTCATGTCAATAAAGCTTATTTGAATTTTTCTTGACTCAGCGTTAGAAAAATATAGCATTTCCTTATATTTGTATTGTTTTTTTTAGATAGATAATTATCTGACACAGCAATGAAACTACTCTTAACACTTGAGAGTTGTGACTTCCTCAAAAAGACTTTTTTTTTTTAAATTGAAACCAACCAACACACTTTCCTCAGTCACATACTTCAATGCTTGACATTCCCATGAGCGATGGAGGAAATCTATGTCAACCTTGACGATGTCAAACCCCTAAGCTCAAGATCATCAACAATACAAGAAGGTACGGGTCTTTTCATAAAAATGTGAAAAGACAACATGCCAACTTATTATATGAGGAAATCCAAAGTCTAACAACTTATCTATTCTTGTTTGACAATATCAATATATTGCCAAACCCTTCTGCATAAAAGTGTAGAACACCAGACTTATTTTACTCTCAGTGCTTTTTTTTTTCACATACATTTTTTATGTGTACAGCCCTTTAAAAAAATCGTTGTAACATCGTTTTAAAAGCTAAAAAGCTTCAGTCCCATCACTTCACATAATTATAAGATTGTGAATAACTAAATATCTCTTTATAACGGCCCGTCCACACAGCAGCGTTAAAAAAATCTTGGAGGTGGGCGTATCTGAAGCTTGGGGATTTTTTGCGAGCAAGGCACCAACAACCAATCACATGAATCTCCCGCCCCCGACATACGAAGCAAAAAAGCCCGAAGTAAACTGGATATAAACTCCCCAAACAGGCGAAAACATACCACTGTCTCTGCCACCTCCCTCCATGCCTGGCTCCTCCGGTTTGTATCCCGGTAGGTAAATAGGGACTCGTCATAAAGCACCGGGTGATTCCCTACCGCTAATTTCTCCTCCATTTTTTGGAATATGAGGAAATGACCTGCGGTATGTCTCTCCCAGCATACACGCCGTTTGATTGGCTAGCGCTTGAACTGTCAGATTTGCATACACGGGATTTGATTGGCTGACGCTTCCACCTCAGCTTCAAAAGTTGAACATTGCTCAACTTTGAATCCTGAAAATCCTGAAAATCTCTGCTCTGCTGCCCACAATGCAGTTCGGCGAAAAGTGAGGCAAAGTGACGTCACCCCATTCAAAGTGAATGGGCAGAAGCGTTCCAAGATTTTTTTAACGCTGCTGTGTGGACGGGCCGTAAGGATGTTTTAAAAATGTTGACACCTTGTATTCTGCACATTTTTAACTGCTCTCTTTTTACAGGTTCTGTCCCTGAAACTGCGCTGGTTCAGCCATTTCTTAAAAAGCCCAACATTTTTAGACATATTTCCAAGCTCCCATTTTTAGATAAAGTTTTAGAAAAAACTGTAGCAGAATAATTGTTAGCTTTTATCAATGACAACAATATTTTAGAAAAATTCTAATCTGGTTTTAGAAAAATCATAGTACTGAAACGGCTCTTCTTCAAGTTTGTAATGACTTGTGTGATTTTATTTTTAAGCTTATTATATTTATTTTCTATGTGTTTTACTTTGTGTTTTTATGTTTACATGCTGTTGTTTAATTATCTTGCTCACCGTGTATTTTATGTTATAGCACTTTGTAACTACGTTTTGAAAGGGGCTATATAAATAAAGTGTATTATCATTATTATTATTATTTATATGGTGATCTAGAAGATACATTCCCCAGGAATGTTTTTTATATCATCTTCCTTTTTTGATGTCATGTCGGTCAAAATTACCGCCTTTATTGCAGTATTTTTTAATTTGATTTATTAAGCAATTGGACTTATAGTACCGTGTAAGGAATCATAACAGACTCTTAAAATGATGCAGAGTGAGAGAAGTTTTACCCTTTGTCCCATGCAATGATACCGATCTATCAGAATAGATCTTGGTTATCATCAACAATGCTTATTGAATATGTCTTTTTTTAAATCACACAAGGGACAAGAATGCTCTCAAGAGTTGAATATTTCAGCAAGGAGTCAACTAAATCTTAAAACTCAAAAGAAGGTAATAAGGCATGTCTTGTCTTTTTTTGCAGAGAAAACTTGTCCTGCAGGATGGAGGATGGTCGGTTGTGTCTGTTATCTCCTCTCTACGGAGAAAGCTTCTTGGGAACAAAGCAGACAAAACTGCAGAGCCAGAGGAGCAGATCTGGTGATCGTAGACAGTAATGAAGAACAGGTAATGTGTGCTGCTTTATCAATTTATTGTTTTACTTATCTGAATCAGAATCAAAATATAAAGGTTGTTTAATAGGTGCTGTGACGGCCCCAGAGCCTGTGTGCTGGTGTATTACAGGTCTTACGATGGGGTGGAGCTGAAGAGGCCAATCAGCGCGATCGTGGACACCTGGCCGGAGCCGAGGTGCTATTAAGCCCAGCTGCCCGGAGTAACGTGGCGGTCCTGACTCTCTCCAAGCCGGCTGCAGAAGCACTCTCGCTCTGGTCCTTTCCCCTCGTCCGTCTTCTCCAGTTCTTGGTGTTTGCTCTTTGATGATGATCAATAAAGTGCCGTGGTTTTTGGAACCTTTGAACACCTCTCTTTGTTTTCCTGTTGTGGCCAACGGGCCGGTCATAACAACTGGGGGCTCGTCTATCGTGAGTATGAACCGGGAGTTGGTTGGGTTGTTTTGGCGTTAGCTGTGCCTGAATTAGCCTGTGTTCGTGGCTAGTTGGTCGCCTGAGTTTTTTGAGGGGATTCCCTCTGGGGACAGTGACGTATGTGGCCTTATATGGT